CTTGATTGCTTCTATCTCTTATTTAATTTAATTTTTATTTGGAATATGGAAATGAGAGAAAATGTATCTCTTTTGAGAAATGAGAGATTTCATATCTATAACTGTATCTCTTTTGAGAAACGCAATTTCTTGCCAAAATATTCGTTTCTCAAGAGAGCTACTTTTTAATTGATTAAAACAGATAAATCATAAAATATGGATTTGTATCTCTTTTGAGACGTAGCCCTGATAATTGTCAGACAGCCAACTTTTTGGCTGAATTTTAAGTTTGGCTACAACATATATATCAATATTCAGATCTTTTAACTATACATTTTTTTATTTATCTTATGAGCAGAGAGATGTCTTCCAGAGTATAATAAGTGATTTGAAAAAAAGAGGGATACAAAGGTATTCAGAGCTTAACTGAATCGTTCTGTGTCCAGTATATATGAGCAAGCTGCTTGATAGCTCACAAATATTTTATTTTTGTCTTCTATATTTCCGCGGTTCCAACATTAGCCACTATCACATTGTCTTCAAGCGTTTCAAGTAGTTTACTTCTCTGCTGGTCATAAGCAGGACATTCAAGAAAATAATGTTTCGGATCTTCTACACTATTAGTAGAACACTGTTCACAAATATTGTCAACTGTGATTTTATGTTTTTTCAGATGTGAACGAAGTGCGGAGAAATCAACTCTTACACGATAGTGGAGAGCCTTCATTCTTCTATTAGCAATGGATGGTATGGATATTCTCGTACCCAGTAGTGTATCTTTCAATTTCTGACGCATCTTCGTCGGAAGCATTCTAACGGAAGATTGTGGATGTTCGGTTGAGAACCTGTTTCATTCTTTAATAGCAGTAGGAAAGAAAGAATGGTTAAAAAAACTACTTTTATCCTTAAAATCATAAAGCGTATTTGCAGTATTCGATCTTAATCCATAGCGAGCGTTAGGTAACGTGTACTGGAGGATCGAATGATTCACACGACTAAAACCCATAAGAATCTTATAGAATAGGCACATTCTATTCACATAAAACAACTGGGAAACTATTAACCATCCTAAATCCTTCAAGATCTTATCTGCTGACGACCCTCGCATAGTACCTGTGACTGTTAGTGCAACTTGGTATTGAATCCTCTCTAACTTTTTAATATTTTCTTGCGTAGTTAGAGAATAAATTTCGCATACATAATTAAAGTTGGCAACTATAAAAGTTTTGTATATACAATCTAACGTTCCACGAGACAAAGTCCATTTTAACAAAAGCATATAATTCTGAATAGTCTGTATCTTACCTAGTATGAAATTAACATGCGCATCCCATGAGAGATTGAAACTCAAATAGATTCCCAAATGTTTATGAATAGATACCTCCTTAACAGATTTGTCTTCAATTTTAAGCGGAGCTAAAATAAAATTTTTCGGTAGTGCGCATTTATAAAAAATCTGAGCTTCGCACTTAGTAATGTTTAGATCGATCAACCATGTTTTACACCATAAGGAAACTTTTTCTAAATCAGCGTTTAAAAGTGAAGTGGTCTTATCAATTGAGGAATTATGATAAAAGAGTGGCATCATCTGCGAAGAGTTTAAAAACGGATTCTAGTGCCTCCCCAAAGATCATCAATGAACACCAAAAATAAAAGTGGACCCAGAACTGAGCGTTGGGGCACAACGCAATTTATATCAGCTAATCCAGATTCAAATCCATCTATTATTGTTTTAATTTTTCTATCGTTTAGATAGTTTTCTATCGTTTAGATAGTTTTCTATCGTTTAGATAGTTTTCTATCGTTTAGATAGTTTTCTATCCATTTAACCACTTGTTCACTCACACCTTTTTGTCTTACTTTGTAGATCAACGCACGATGACTGACCGAACCAAATGCTCGCGAAAAGTCGAGAAAAATCTCTCTCACAACTTTAGATTCCTCTAATCCCTCATGAATATAATGGAGAAGAGTCACTAATTGTTTTACGCAAGAATCTTTCCATATTCTCTCGTTCATTGAAATTACTGTCAACTCACTTTGTATATCACTTATTTTTTCATGTGATTCTCTTTTCAAAAGGTGAAAAAAGCAGATATAAACTGCAAAACCTTCGAGTGTAAAAATAGCCTACACACTACGTTAACTGGGGTTTTGTTTTGTATATCTCATTTAAAATGAGAATAACAAAAACACGTACCTTCAATCACATATGCGTCTGTTATATATGTTAGAAACAGAATGCGGATACTATTTGTATATACGAAATATAAATTCTCACTTTGAAATAACAGAAAAAGAATTCTTTTGCGTTCTTGCAATTAAAATTACTAACTAAAGCCACTAATAAACGTCCGGTACGTGGCGTGAGTCGCGTCTCGACTTTTTTAATGATTCTCAGCAGTTTTTCAATCTTAGCGCAAGTCTCGAAACCATGACTGGCGACGGAACTGTCAGATTGTTCTGCAATACCCGTAGTTACTGTCTCAACGCGAGTGGCGGAAGTCGCGTCGCGAAATAGTTATATGGTAGCAATCGCACTAAGAAGAAACTATAAAGTTGACTAGAATATATTGGATTCTTAAGAATCGATGCAGAATTTAGAGACTTGCCGTAAGATCGCGAGTGTTTAGCAATCGCGCCGTGACTTCGCGACATTATAGCGATCGTGCAGCGACTCTTCAAAAAAATTTTTTTTTCAAAATAAGATTTGATCAGGAACACTCTGTCAGTTTAAGAATGCAACGCGAATATAAGATTTTATCGTGATCGCTCTGCGAAGGTGGACTTCGGTAAAAAAACACCGTGAACACCACGATTCTTGGCGATTGGCACAACATTTTTCTTTTTTGTGCTTGTTAGCGTAGAAAAATACTTCTTTTTGTTTCTTTATTTTCCACTTTTTCTATTTGTAACAGAATGGTCTGTCTGAGTGACAATAAAATTAAAATAAATTCTACAGCATTTTAATTTAAGAACGAATAACGAAAGATGTTGTGTTGGTAAGTGAGATTCAAACTTAGCATCTAATAATTAGAATCCAGAAAAAGAAAAACAATCGTCAATTTATCGCAGGATTAATCGATAAAGTTAGAAGAAGTCTGGTGCTAAAAGTTGTCGATTGATCGTAGTTAATCGCACAAATAACTGGCGCTTTTTTGCCGATTTCTACTACGTGAGTATGTTATGGCTGATTATAGTAACAAATAGCATGCTAGTGAATGTTCAAAACTCGGTCAGACACTGTTCTCTAAGCATTTATATACCAGTGCTGCTGTTAGCAGACGATCTTCGATCATATGGTGTTAGCATCCACGGTTTATTTTCATATACTAAATTTACTCAACATTAGTTTGTTGAACACTCATTTTAATCTAAGTATCATCCAATATTCTCTTATTCATCTCAAAAATGTGTGCAGACAAATTATTTCTCTTATGTCCCACAGTAATTAAACCAGTCATTAACTCTTCAATCTCAATGTTCGTCATAGTACATTTGTACAAGTAGAGCACGACTGATAAATGTATAAGACGTATTGGGTGACGACTTCAAATCTCACTGGACGAGGACAGTTTTCCTTTTTTTCAAAGTAACCGTACGAAAACCATTTATCGTTCAAATATTTAATGATTCTCACAGTAGTGGGAGAAAAACCGACAAACGGCAATTATGGTATCCCTCCAGGAATTATCTGTTGGAATTTTGCTCTAGTTATTACTTCGTGGTGAGAAAACCAAGAATTATGAAATACTTTCCGTCTAAATCGAATTATGGTTTGTGCATGAGAATTTACAAAAGAATGACTTCAGATGAATGGTTGTTACCTTCTGTCCTCATAAACTCTAATTCATTTGATCGTGCTACGATACAAGAGACTTGAAAAAGATTAATCTTTACACACCTACGGAGCATGACAAGTATAATGCGTTTTTATCACATTTATTATATGTGTTCTTTACATTATTGTTGAAATCTGAATATATTAGAATGAGTAATGTCGTTCCTTTTTCTTAAAATCACATCTGACCTTTGTCATGACGTCGTTATTATGGCACCAAATAATGAAAAAAAAGATAGAATATGCCTTTTACGTCGTTGTTCTCTCTCTGTATGTAATTTACATAATGAAAAATGATTCGTTTATATGATTCGGTACATTCTTTTTCCTCCTTCGTTTACGTTAGAGGAAATAAATTATTATATAAATAGGTGATCGGAAGCGTCAACATGAATATTTGATTAAACAAATAAGTTTTCTAAACATAAAAGCTATAATTTTTATATACTCTTGAATACATTACCAATTTGAGAGAACTAATCATGAACAAAATAATCTACATTTCATTGATGGTATGTACTTCTTTTATACACATTTAAATAAGGATGTTCAGGCGGCGAAAAGTGGTACACTGTTATAGTAACGTTAACGAAATATCTGACCTTAATATGAAAGATTTTGAGAACTTCAGATTATCTAAAAGATCCTCAATTTTCGAGGAAACTGTTAATTCCAGTTATGAATTAGATATAACCTAGTTTGCGGTGCTGGCTTTATTAAGTAAGAATATGAGAATCTTTCTTCAATATACGGCTTTGTTCAAAAATTATAAGAATTTTAAGGTGATGAATGTATCATATCTTCTCTGCTATTCGTTAGGCATTCTTTTTGATTCTATAATAGATTAGAACAGAGTTTTCAGAGAGAATTTTTAATCATGGTATCTCTGCTTCATAAATCAATATCTAACTCGTCTAATGGAACCTTATTATATATCAAGCGAACTATTTCTTTCCATTGGCGGAAGAAGCATGCATTACATGGTTGCAGTATCGACATTGTTTTTCCGGGTATCGTCATCAGTTTATATGACACTTGTTTTTTCGTTTAATTTTTTTCATAACACGTATAAATAGAATGATCTGGTTATATTTTAAAATCCTTATAACTTCTGAAAAAAGATTATTGAAGAGAGATTCTCATATTCATGCTTAACGCCAGGAGCACCGCAAGCCAGGCTATATCCGATTCAAAACTGGAATAAGGATTGATGCACTTCTCCGATTAGTTTAAAACTGTTTTCCTTTTGTTTAGTTGTGTATCACCCTTGAGCTTGCAACTTGCCGACCCGGTAGAGATTCTGGTGAGGATGATCACCGTCGTCCGCCGATCAGAGGCCGACCAGATCAGGTGCACCATGGCGATTTTGGCGGCGATAGCAACTGGGATCTGGAGCAAGTGGTTCGATACATTTGTCGATGGGAGGCTGCTAACAGTACAAACAGCCAAACACTGTTGAATGTGATTGTTCAATATCTGACGCGCCTCCAGTCGAACGGTACCTATCAGCCACTATTGTCAAAATACAACCAGACAGTTGCTTATGTTCAAAATGCGACAAATCAGGCACTATTCCTGAGCAATTGTACACAATTCTTTCAAGGACTGAAAGGAGCATTCACACAAGACAAACAAAGACAGGAACAAATTGAACAGCTAGCTAGCAGTGTGAAACTGCAAGTGATGCAACTATTAATTGACACATTCAACGGCATCATTCAACCATCACCATCATCGGTGACACCGACGAGTCCAGGGTCATCACAATTAATGACAACAGCAGCCGTTGTAGGCTAGATCAATTTAATTTGCGCGTGATAACAGTTACTGACCAAGAACTATTTTTGCTTTTCAACGAGAACCTTTGTTTGCCACATTTTTGTTCATTAAATATATTTTTCTTTTTGGAAATTAATGTGATTAATGCGGCATTCGCGTAGATGAGAGCTGATACGAATATGCTTCGAAGTCAGTGTTAGCCGCCATGCTACAATTTCTCAATATTCTTAACGGGATGCCCGATGTGTTTCTTCAAATAGTGTTTTCCAATTAAGTGTTTAATTATATCACGTCATAGTCTTTCCCCGATCAACTGGAGACTGCAATTAACATCCCAAGACTAAAAAATACTGCAATTCGCACCAATGAAAAAATATAGGCCGATATCATTCTTGGTCGAAGGACTCCGAAAACGTTGTTATTAATCCACTAACAAACTCACAAACAATCTGCAGAATGAGAGTCAGTTTGCTTTATACCATCAGATGCATACTTGTACGCTATCTATAGTTTGAATGCCAAGGCAAATAATAATATCTGAAACCCCTCAGTGTTCGTGCAGTGTTTCCAGACTTGTTTTGTGCTTTACTTTTGACGATCTCGTGTTGTACCGTTATTCATCTCCGCTTTTTCTCCCTCATTTCGACAAAAACTGGAATCAGACAGAAAGAAAACTAAAAACTTCTCTGCTCGATCGTCTCGTTACCTACAAAAAACCCAGCTACTGTTATTTTTAGGGTGTCTTGGATAAAAGTGGTTGCGCTACAAATATGTCTACTACAGTTTTTTCTGAAAAAGTGACGTGCGAGACGTTAACAGCAGATTAGATTTTTTTGAGAAATATTCATTGTAACAGCGTAGAATATTGTAGTGCCAGATAGAGCTTTGAATTTTCCATCGACTTCTATGTTCGCTTTTGATGAAGTCTTTGTAAACTATGGAACCACCCAAAATTGTCTACAGCTAAGGTGCAGGAAATTCAAAAAGATGAACAAGCAGAATGGTAGAAGGGCTGCTGGTCCATTTTGCAAACCTATCTAGTCCTAGGGTGCAAGTGATGAAACTCTTTCTTTAACCATGATATGAACAACAGCTCAGACCCCCTTCAATCAGCCTTCAAGCAAATCCTCCGCCATTTTGTCTCAGAGACTCCCATTGACTGCTAGCAGTACTAGTCCACAAAAGCATTTACAAATGAAAACTATAGTCTGTGGATTACGACAGACTTCTCACCCGTCGCTAAACCTTCGTGGTACAGACCGGATCCTTAGACTCTAAGAGCTATATCCAGCTCTCATCCCTGGGAAGCCTGTGTCAGTTCGTATAACTTGTTCATAGCACTTCTTCTCACATCGAGGCAGAAAAAACTTCACTGAAGCTCCACAAAAATACGTTAGCTGAAGGAATACTTGTTTTTGCCTTTGAATCCGTGTGAAGAGTCGATCAATTTTTGGGCGCCGACTTTTGCCAGAGAAGAGATTAGAGTTTTGAGATGATAAAAACACAATGTGCTTTTTCTTTTTTCTGTCCTCTTTCCATGATGATTCATCACAAATTTCCTCTCACTTTCACAGAAATGTTCAGATACTGACAGTTAAAGAAATATCTGGAAAGAAAAAGTGACGAAAAGCACTGGATTGATGTAAGAAAGCCGATTATATGCATGTATGAGTGGTGTTGTGTAGTCGTGTTTTGTACGAAAGTTGCTTACGTTACACACACATATTAAGAGGTAGATCTCAGAGATCCGTTGTCATGACGAGATCGATGTATACTCTCAAAATGAATAGCTCACTGTCGTGGGAGCGCGCCAGAGCGACTTTTATGAACGAAGTAAACGAAAATCACGATAAAATGTTGTCGTGATCTACGAAGTTACGACAGACTTCCTTCACGCAGACCGAGTTCTTAGCCATTGAGAACCACATCGAACTCTCACTCTTGGGGATTTCTCCAAACGCTCAAGACGAGGAGAGCTTTTCCGAGGTCTCCACGAACCAGATCGCATGCTTAGTGAATGTATAGAACAATATGCAAATACATAGAACACTTTCTTTTTGTAAGTAATCTTTTTGTGTGCACATTCCACGCAAAAACAGTTATCTTTCTCATCCTTCATGCATTTCAACTTTCATACTACAAGCTCATAAATTATATAGAAGAAGCTGAAGATTCGAATCGAAATTCTTAACAGCTATTGTTTTCAGGCAGAAAACAATACTTGTTAACAACAGTCCACTAATTTTAGTCAATTCTAATTGTTTCTCTAGTTACAGAAAATGAATTTCGATATTTAATACTCGACTTGTTTGATCTAAATAAATTTTGTTTTATAACTGCTTTTTCGGTACGGAAAAGCTCAAACCTTGGAAATATGAACTGGTTCTTACTACGTGCGCAGTCCTCGAAACTGTTTTTCTGTAACTTTTCTTTCAACACAGTTGAGAATATATACATCAAACAAATCAAGTTTAAAATATCGAAATTCATTTTCTTTCTTTAACCGCAGTAAACTCGCATGATATGGCTGACCGAGAAATTGTGACAACGAATTTGTCTTTTTTCTAGTTAAGCGTCAGAACGACGATTAGTAAGTGGATGGGATGGGTGACCGTCACATAGTGGGCAACCATGTGGACATTAGATGAAAAAACGAAAGTAGACTTTTGGCAAATTCAAATAGCAGAACATATACTTGGGCAAACGCTCTATCTTTTTGCCATTGGAAGTTTTTTTCTAGATGGCATAATTAGCGAGAAAGTAGAGAATCAAATTTTTGTCGGAAAACAGACCGATGATGCGACAAAAATTTGTTTTGGTAAAACAGAGTCTGATATTTGCAAAACTTATATATAGTGCGAAACTAGATCTTCCACCTATCTATTCATAAAAAAGATTTTTTTGGATGCTTTATCACCGAGAAAAAAAATTTCTTTCTGTGCTAAGTGGTTTCCAAAGTGTAGACCTCGATATAGTCGGTTTCCGATTTTTTCCGAAGCTCCAAATGCGATGAAATTTTTACCAAACATGTATCTACTAACGATATATCGATGCTGGTAGCCCAAAATAACTCAAATGCTCCTGAGCTCAGTTATAGGTTTCTGAGTTTTCTCCGCCTACTAACATCCAAACTAAAGACCAATAACATATTTGGAATCAGAGCAAAAGACTGCGTTGACTGAATGGTATATAATTTATCCATTCCAGGGCGCATACTTTTAAATTCAATTGAATTCTGAGGCTGAAGTGTAGCTCAAATATTTTGCCTAAAGTATGAAATTCTAATTAAAAAGAATATCAAAGCATTTAAACACTTTTTTATAGGCTTTCGACGATGCTTGTTGCAATGGTCTGATTTTTGAGTTTTGAAAAGGTTTTCTAAGTGGTTTTCTGAAGAATGAATCTCTGGAAAACCGCCTAGGAAACTGTTCGAAAACTCAAAAACCATTCCAATGGAAAGAGCATCGTGGAAAACCTATAGAAAAAGTGTTTAGGCACTTTTATATCACTTCTAAAGCTCATATCCACGTGCTTAGCCAGAATTGCCCATTGTGCACCACTGAAGATTGAATCATCGAATTATTTCGTTAAAGTCTGACGAATATGTTCTCAACTGTGTTGAGAGAAAAGTTAGAAAAAAACAGCCTCGAGGACTGCGTGCGTAGTAAGGATCAGTTCAAATTTCCAAGGCTTGAGCTTTTTTGTAACGAAAAAGCGGTAGTAAAACAAAATTTACTAAAGTAACTTACAAAAAGTCGACTTGTAAACAGCTTTCGTTTTCGATCATTATGTACATTTTTTGTGGTCTAGTTCAGATCTAATTTTTATTTAGTTTTCTTTTAGTCAAATTCTTGAGAAAAATAAAATATTAAAATATCTAATATAAACTTCAGTGAGATTGAATTGAGCGAAGTTGTGAAATATTTGAACGTACAGTAGTTACAGATTGATGCCGTGATCCGGGAGAATTACAAATAAATAATCCATTCATCTTACTCTCAAGGGCTTTGACAAATTTCTGGCGATTAAAATAAGAGAAATAAGCCCGGTTCTAAAAAATTATATTTTATTTATATAAATGAGAGTTTTGAGCTCGAAATTAATTTATACTATTTGTCAGTGGCAAAATGTATTTAATAACACAAGAATAGATCAAGAACAAAAGATGTGTGAGATTACAATAGTTTTTCACTAATATTTAGACTCTTTTTAGTTGAATTGTCTCGCTTAACTTCACCGTTATTTTGTTCATGTAAATATAATCGTAAAGAATATTTTTGCGTTGATTCATTGAGCTTATTAATCTGTGGGATCATCGTAAAGTTCCACAGTCACTTGCGATAAGAAGTTGAACAGGTCGTCCAAAGAAAGTAAAATTAGCTTTAACAAAAGACTGAATATTAGGGAAAAAACTTTTGTAATCTAGCACTTTTTTTGTTCTTCAACTGTTTTTTCTTATCAAATATACTTTGCTACTGACAAGTCATTAATTAATTTTCATAAATTAATTTCGAGCTGAATGAAATATCTCTTTTTTTCGATTTCATAGATTTCGCGTCCACAAGAAATAATCATCCGGTCTTAACAGATGACCTAATATGCTCATTTATTTTTCTACACGTAATACTGTTTCGGTAATATAATGAAAATTAAAAAAGTTACAATGCAGTTTTCTCATAGATCAAAATTATACCTTGAGAAAATGATTATATTTTGTTGCTAACAACAAAAAACAATTACTCTTATCTATTGTTATAGCTTTTCGTTATTTGTGAAGAAATATACAAACAATGGAGTATATTCTACGCTCGAGTAAAAAAATGTACGTTGTTTTTCTATGACACATACTATTACATTTACAATATTACAAATCTATCTTTAGATTATTTACACGTTATTATACTTACTTATGAAATATGTTGAATATTAAAGTGATACTTAGCATATGTCTTTTGATCTCGGGTATTAGATCACAAAACGCTGGTGGAACAAAAGGTGAAGCAAATGGTACAGTTGCAGGAACGGGGGGTACCATTTCAGGATCAAATAATGGTGTCATTAGCTCGCTAGCGTCTGCAGTAACGGATAAAACAATAACACTGGAAGAGATTGAAAGTGGTATCAACGATGACACAGCACTTAACATTACATGGTCTTATCCTAATAATATTCTCTACGAGGTATTAACATTGAAACTCTCCGTGTACGAGTTTATCAATGGCTCACAGTTGGCAACAGATGTCCCAAAATCATTTTCATTCAACTTAACGTATAGCAATACAACAGTGAAAAATTGCGCTGTATCGGGCTTTCAACCAGGTAGATACGTGATTGCATGTATTCAAGCTCTGCAGTATTATCAAGGAGTGGTGGCAGCGCAAACAAACCAATGTGGACTGGGTCAAACCACAGTAAATGGCACTAGTTTACCGCAATTGAATTTGACCACATCATTTAGCAACATAAGCGCAAATCAAATCGATCTAATACTCTTCTGGCCTTTACAATTACCTTACGATAATGTGTCAATGAATGCCACAATTAATGGTATGATCTATTCGAACTATACAACAGTATCAAACCAAACTTACATGATTACCACCTATTATTTTCTGAATCTGTCACCAAACACCGAATATAACGTATGTTCATTTGTCAACTACTCGAACAACCATGTGAGTGGTAGTGTTCCCGGCTTAATGGCTTCGTCACAAAACAGTTGTAATAAAGTCAAAACAACATCAAATGCAATGGGTGGTGTCGGACAAGTTAAATCATTATTATTGGGAGTAAAAGCCTTTTACTCCCAAGCAAACACTTTACTTCGTGGGATGTTCTCGTAAGTCAAAGACCTAAGTTTCGGAGTAAATTCTTTCAAAAAGCTGGAGTGGACAGACATATCAGACTTAGTTAATGTGATCTGAAAAACATAATGAAAAAGAAAAGTTGCCCGAACATTGAGACTAGCATAATGAAGCACAACTGAGACCAGTCGATTCGCACAGTACGGATCCACTATTGGATAAATAACAGTTGAATAGATCTGTCAAAGTGAAAGAAAAGTTCTAAGACTGCAAATAGTTGACACTGTATATTATGAAGTGGCAAGAGAAGAATAATTGACAATGTAAATTATTAGCAGTCTTAGAACCTTTTTCATTTGGAAAAAATAATTTGTTTAACATTGACTTATTAGGGGGAGATTATAAGGAAAGACGCCGCGAGGTACAAGAAGCAGGAAGGGAGTTCTCCGATGTAGGAATAAATCGAAAAATTTTGAAAATGAGAGTAAATATCTTATTTGTATAAAATACGTGAGTTTTAACTGGCACAACGATCCAAGACATAACTCCGTTAAACTTAAGAGTAAAACGTACTGATTCATTATCATAACCTGAGCAATTAATTAAAACCTGGGCGTCAAACTTTAGGAATAATGTATATTCAGCGGACATAGGCGTTTTTTATACGAAGAATCCAGCGTTTATACCACGTCCAGGACGATGAAAACGAGCTAAAAAATGACTCGTTCATGATTCATTAATGAGTCATTAATGGGTGACTAATTGCCCGTTTTAAGGTCGTTTAAGGTCATTTTTATTTAGTTTTACGCCATAAACGTTACCATTATTCCGTCGTATTTTAGACCACTTTTTTTACTACGTAAAAATGCATGGATCATCAGCAGACAGTAGTAGTCTGGCTACCCAGCTACGACTGCCTGACCTTACAGTGCGTAGGCGCTATCTTCGCCTTGTCTAGTTTTACAAATTATATAACAACCTTACTCAAACGTTTATAAGGCATTTTTCAATCATTAATGAGATAACCCAGATGCTGTTTTTTTATGACCATAAGTAACTCATTTTTACGCCATTAACTGTCCATCAATTGACCATTTTTACGTCGTTCGAATAATGTAAATACGACCGTAAAATGACCCAATCAACTGAACCAATGGTAGGAGGCATTTTACGGTTGTTAAAAAATTAAAAGCATAGATAGGCGCTTCGTGGACATATAACAAATGGCTGAACGACAATGAGCCATAAAAGATTCTGACTACTACCGGTGGTTTGCTACTTTTTAATCGTAAGTGCAGAGTATCAACCGTCTTGTTCTATTTCTAGTAAGCAAACGTAATTTATTCCACAACACGAGTAAAAAATAAAATAAAACTAAAATAAGCTTTTCATAAAAAAAGAGCTGGCTAACATACTAATAAATTTCGTTTAGATTAAAGATCTAGAAACTTTTCCATTTTACGAGAAACAGGGCATTTACTAATTTTCGATTATTGTGCACCTAAATTAAACATGCTCCATTTTAACTCACATTATTTAATCTCGCATTTTTTTTAATCTCACATTTTATCCTTTTTTAATCTCCTTTTAGGAAGTTTCCTACTTATTGTGCCTTTGCCGGTATTGTCACTTCTGATGCTCCCCAAGGATCAAAGCTCGGGCCTTTACTCTCTTTTGACGGTTCCTATAAAATACATTTGGAACCACTAAATAAAGTACAACGAGCGGCATCTCGAATAATATGTGGCAATTTCATCTCATCATCATCTCGAGTTTCCTGTAAGACACAATTGGAGCCTCTCGATCGCCGTAGGAAAATAGCTAGACTGAAATACTTGTGGAAAGTTATGAAAGGAAGGACGGCTCTTGCATGATATGGTCTACTCCAACCGATAACCAATCGACGTACACTGCGAAAAGGAAATTCTCTCATTCTGTGTTGTCAGTACCCGAATATAAAAAGGATGTTCTCAAGGAAACGTTTTTAGTTAGAACAGTAAAGGAGTGGAATGGTCTTCCTAATTCTTTAGTTTATCACCCACAGTAAAAAATTGTTGCCATTACCTTATAACAACACTTATAGTGTAAACTGCCTATCTGTATATTTGCTTTCTTATTTTCATGTATTTGCTTTCTTACTTTTCATCTTTTATTTTTATACATATTGTATAGATAAATTCATATAGGTTGGACACCTTTACAAGAGATGTATTAATTTATGTTGCTTTTGTCGCAATGCTTGTTAAGTTTGTTTTCTCTTTTCTATCTGCATGTGAACTCAACTTTACTAAATATATACTGGAAAAGGTTTAACTCTCAATAAGTTGGAAATCATAATCTCTGTTTATTTGTTTATTTATTTATTTGCCGCTCAGTCTGCTATTTACTGTTTTTAAATAATCAAGATACGTGCTGCCTAACGCAGCTATAATATTCAAAGAGCTCTTTAAATGTTTTACAAGAGTTTTATTGTACAGAATTGACGCTAAATTAGTTATTTATTTTAAAGAGAGTGCATATGAAAGTCTTTATTAAAAAAAACAAATTAAACTACTTAATATTAGCAGACAATTAAGAGAGAATCCATGAATATACCAAAGATACTTTCCACCTCCTCAATTTCAAAATTCGTTTTTGATCACAGGTTCTGAAAGAGCGTATACGATTTCGTCAGAAAACTATTAAAAATTCTTTTTGAAAACTCTTCGGTACAGAGCGCCGGACGTCTGAACTTTGGGACCCATTAAAAGTGATCATTTTCGTACTTTTCAGTATTACCGCTGTAATTTTGCCATGAAAAGGGCTACAGAGTCGGTTGATATTTTGTTTGATAGAGGATCAAATAAATATCTAGTGCTGAAAGGTGAGGGTCATTCTGATTTAATCTCGCTTTCATAGAGTCAAAACTTCGAAAAAGTGCTTACACCGAAAAACCAGTATTTCCGGTTAAGTAATACCCTAGTTTTGCGTCTGCGTCGAGAATTTTTCACCAAATGTTCTTTGATTGATGAAGCGCTGAATGAGATATCATTCGAGTCAAAAAAAATTTCTAGTGAATCAACAACGTGAGGCGAAAAATGACTTATGTTCGAAATAATGCATTTTTTTCCCTCTATATATTTTATTTAGTGAGAAAAACAATATATTCGTGTTCAGCGAATGAAACTGAGTACTTTTATAACTTTACCGAGATTTCCAGCCTCATTCTAGTACACACATGCCATCATCATTCTTCAGAACCGTGTGAAAACGGTTTTGACCTTAGACATGAATTAAAAAGTGTGTAAACCACTCTACGTTATATATCATTCGATAGAGAATTTCACGGGCTACAAAATGATATTTAAGACAGACATAAGAAAATGTAACTGGATAGTCTAAGATCCGAAATACTCGGTAGTATCTCACCAAACAGGTAGGTCACCGTTGTTCATGTTTATAGTATCCATTGATTTTCTCGTTAACCAGTCTATTTTATATATCATTCGATGGAGAATTTTACGGGCTTCAAAATGAGCTATGACTAAGTCTTTCAAAGATATGCCTACATAGGTCAATAGGCGAAATACTTGGCCAATATAATGATTTTCACCTGTCTTAGTAATTTAAACACCCCTTTAGTCATTTCTCTGCCATAATGAACAATTATGTATTTTTCAAAAAAACATACCATTGCATAGCCCTTTAAATTCTCTACAAAGTAAGCTGGTCAGAATATCCACACAGGTGGGACCAGTCATTAAAGATATGGAAAAGAAGCGTTTGGGTGCTATCTATGCTGTACAATATGTCATAATCAAAAGAACTCCTTTGTTTTTGACTTTTGGGTAAAAGCTGGAATCAATCTGAATACTGTTTTGAATAGCCCGAAGAATCTTCTATCATTGAGGTGCATTTCGCCGCGTCATGGGAAAAGTTGATAATAGGGTTTCTGGAAAACTTGACCGCTGGACAACTAAGTCCTTGGTTTTTGGTCAGAAAACTCTGCAAACCACAAAGCCTGATAGAGCATGGAATTCTGAGGAAAATAAGATATCTTCCGGCTGTCCATAAAACTTTTTCACCGGAATGTTTTGGTAATTTTCACGCCCTTCTTAGCCATTCGTAAATCGACTGCAATTGTATGAAAAATAGGGTCCGGCGGGATGAAGTTTTTTCGTCCCGATCCCGGTCCAACTGGACGAAGCCCGTCCCGATCCCGAACCCTTTTCTTAACGGGAAAACCCATCCAGGTCCCGTTTAAACCCGGTTTTTGCGAATCTGCCAGAGATATTTTTCAAACACATGTCAAATGAGATACCACTCGATAGCATTGCATCCTATTATGATTTTTCGACCGAAATGTGACGTTCAAATTT